GCTGCAGGTGAAATTCATCTTTATAAATATGTAGACTGCATATCATTACCGGCATACAAGACGCCTTAAGACCTAATATTAATTGCAAAAATATGGATTTTTTTTTATGTCACCTAGATATACTGTGACAAGTGCCAGCTACTATAACATTACGAACCTAAAAAGCCGGTTACTTTAAAACTGGCGAAGCGGGCTTATTTTTGTTATTGTATGAACAGTTTTGGGTATTAAAATCCCATGGTGTGTAAGGAAAAAAATACTGAAATTTGTTGTGCTGTATAAATGTCTATTCCTCGTTGTGTTTGCCTGTATGTAAGATGCGCTTGACGGAACTTCAACGCGTGACAGAAGTGCGCTTTTTGCGGCGATAGGTTTTAGAAAAATTCAAATTTGTTTGAGAAAATGTAGGTTTTTTAGGAGACCATTCATCAAGTAGTTGGTATAGCATTGTAGTATTGTGTAGGAGTGTTTGAATACGTGCACAAGTCGGGGATGAACTAATTTAAGATTTATGTAAATAACGATAATAGTAAGGATATCTTGCTTAAATTGTATGAAACATGATAAAAAATGCTTAGAACAAAATTCATTAAAATGATTTTCAAATGGTTGTAGTATTGTTATTTTTGTTTCAAAGTACAAAATGATCTTCAAGCAAAAGGGGGGAAAATGGTCCAAGAGCAATAAAAGCACATAAAAAGAGAGGTGCGCCTTTTAATGGGAAAGCAGTATGTCATTTGCTCCATCAGGGGGTAAGGTAATGTTAACATTTTTAATTTCTTTTTTTTATGAATCTTCGGGGTAGGCCATTTTCAAAATCGTTGTTAATGAAGTTCTTTTGATACCTGGGCTACTGGTAATTTGCTCTCAAAATGGAGTGACGGTCATGTAATGATAATAAATTTGGAACTCTAGAATGGGTTTATAGATAGTTAAAAGAACATTTACACAGGTATATATGTGTATTTTTTATCTAGTTTTTTTCAGTTCTGTCGAATGACATTTATTGCGCAACCAAATAATTCACCATATTCTGCTTTTTATCCAGTGCATAGTTTCACCCTTACTGCAAAAAGGCTAGGCTCGCCCTCACCGTTTTCTAGTCTCGTGTGACGTCACGCAGAGCCTTCAGTCTCGTTTTATTCCTTATCGAAAAAATTTAATGTGGATACACAAAGAGAACATAAACCATTAAAAAGCATAGAACATTTTTATCACTTGCTTGAAGCAGTAAACGAATTATCATATAGGTAGAATAGTCTGTATGGAACGTTTTATGGTCGGCATGCAAATGCGTTAGCATGGTTTTGGCTGCTTTTGTACAGACAGGAAATGTCCAATACTAGGGAAATCATTATGGCATTTTAACATTCACGTGACAAACAACAACATGCGTGGCTTTCTAACACCAACCAAAATCCTGAAGGCATACGTTAGCTGATACTGTATTTGTCAAGGGCACTGTAGGCCGACAATAGAATGTATACGATTTTCAGTGGATGCAAGTAGCAATTGGCCGCGGCGAGTACGTTTACGTTTACATTACGTGCCATTTCTAGGACATGACCTTGAGGTCAAAAAAGGAAAAAATAGTTTTTTCGGTTGAAAAGTGATCGTACGGAGCCCTTTCAGTCTCAGCACAGTTGCTGTGCGCCTCCCGTGCGGTTTCCTTGAAGATTGATATGTGGTCGGTGCAGCCCCCTACGATTTTCTCACATATGTGGTCGGGATTAAAAAAACAATTATTTGAAATTCATGTGAATTACAATAAGCTTTAAACACCTGGACTATTGTTATGCCTTCTAAAACCACCAAAGGTGGAAGGCAAAGACCATAATTCTACAGCCTACGGGCTTGCGATTTTTTTAATTGTCATATATGTTATCATGACAAAATCGCAGAGGCATCAGAGGCCGTGAATCCGCTCGATTTGCAGGGTCACCGACTACCACTGACCAGACGCTACGGAAAAGAGCTTGGGGCAGTATGCCAGCACCGTACAGACGTCGAATGGCAAATGTTATCTAGGCTTCTATTGTTTGAGATCGAGAAAATACGTAAAATTATATGATACATATTAAAACGGAACTGTTGCATAGATATATTCAAAATTAACATGTCCAGCAAATCGAGGTAAATTCCCCTAATTCAGTTCATTAATTCAAATTCTGATTAAAATTGAATTTAAATTCAACATTTTTTTCAATCTTCAGAAAGCACGACCAGAAATAGATGGACGTGTCAGTGATCTTGCTTACCAGTCTTATTCAAAGCAATGAGAAATTGCTCTCTGTAATCGTCAGCCCATTTTAATTGAATGGGATTTAATAGCGCTTTAAGGAGAGAACGGTTGTTCATCCATATGTGCGCGTAAAACCCGCGATCCGGAAGATGAGCGTCATACAGAGGTGTGAATGTCACCGTTTCGTTCTTATTAAACGCCAAAATTCCTTTATCAACTCGATCTGCTCGAAAGCCGTGTGGTGTCCTCGGAATTTCTTTGAAAAATTCTTTCCGAAGTTCACTGTCTAAAGTATTTATCCAGTCACCAATTCGAATGCTGGCGAGCTTTTGGTCGAGGTACCAGTCATTGTATTTAATTTTCAATTTTAATGCAACGGTGCGCAGTGTTTCAGAAATCGCTGTTCCTGTCTTGTTCGGGTAACTGACGATGAGGGGAATGTGCATCCCTTTGTCTTGGGCTAGCCTTTGCCTAGTCTCTCCGGCTTGAGACTGGTGGCTCATTTGTTCTTTGTCTATTGTCTTGTTCAAGTCTGGAAAAAGCATTCGCCATAATGCCACAGGAGAACCGATGTTACCCATCGGGTACATACGGTAACTCTTTCCAAGCTGGTTGAAACGTCCACAGCAGTAACTGTTCGTGATAACCATACGTGGTTGAGGCTGAAGAAGGTGTGTTTTGTGAACCCACAAGTCGGCATCACTTGTGATGAGAAAATCTTCATCTTTTAACGTGTGGTCGAGTGTGGAAACGTAGAGACGTAACACTTGGCTTAAAGCCACGGTGGTTGCCTCGTCCGCAGTTGGTACAAATAAGACTCGGGCGCGGGTTTGTTCCAGTCGTTCCAGTATTACGTTGAGAACTGGATCTCTTCGCCACAGTGTTGGATCCCCTGTCATTACAATCACCGACCGGAACCCTTGCTTTGCCCACAGAAGAGAAGTCAACGGCAAATAAAAGCCGTATTTGTGAATTTTAGTTATTGATGCGCCGTAAGTGACGTATTTTCCCTTCGTGCTGTTTTGGTCTGCGCCTTCAAATAATAACGTCTCATCCCTGTCTTCAGTTGGTGTCGCTGTATTCATGTAATTTACAAAATATTTTACAAAACCGACACTTCCTGTCAATCGTATGTTCAAATACAACATTATATACACCAACGACAAAATAGAAACTGCTGATAAAAAACATCCAAAAGTGTTTGAAATGGTCGCCATTTTAGTACTATTTCGTATAAAATTGGGTCTCCGTCGGTAAATTCCTTCATGCATCAAATCTGCCAGGAACCTTCAGAAAGGTGCTGCAACGCGTAGCAGCCCGACGTCACAACAATATCAATATCCATTTCAATGTCTGCCAGTGTGGGATGGCAAAGCATTTCTGTTCATTTTTAATGTCCACCGCTCGGTTTCACGTTTTTCGCAGAAAGACTGCAGTAGGATGCTGACCACGATTGATACTGCGCGTGGTACTTGCCTGCTTGCGCTGATCATTTTAATGAAATGCAGTCATAAAATTGCTAGTGGCGTAGTTAAATCAAGCGTTTTCAAGTACAAATTAATTCATCAGGGGTATAAAAAAAGGTATATAGTATGACGCTCTGAGCTTGACGGGAAATAGATGAGAGAATTGACCCACTCTCTTCTGCGGACCTCTGCCACATCAAGATGTCTACACAATGTCTACATCTCCGCGTTGTGCACTAATACATCCTTTGGCCAGCGATTTTCTATTCTCGCAACGCTCCACGGTGGACGTCAAGGACAAAATTTAAGGGATCAGCCGTGGTGGATAACTGCACGACACACGTGAAAGCCTACTACTTCATCTGGGCGTTGCCTTCTCAATCCGACCAGCAAAGATTCCCATCAGCTGTGTATTGCAGTGCTCTCAAAGCCACAAAGATGGTTTCTTCCAACAGCCAAAATCCAGACTTACAACTGTTTCAGTATATCAGAGTCTTTTTTTTTTTTTTTTTTTTTTTTTTTATCAGAGTCTAGTACCTATACATTTTCAACAGGTTGATCGAACCTCTCAGATAGAGGCTACCATAACACCTGTAGCCTACCGCCTTGCAAAAAAAAAAAAAATGTCTTATTTGCCAAAAAAAAAAATTGAGACAGTGATGTAAGAACAGCATAATGAATTCTATAAAATAACAACCCACCATGACATAAGTCACATTTTCCACTCGTCAGCTAGGTGTACGTGGCAACCGCTCGGTGTTAATGCTCCTTTAAATGACATTAACCTCGCTGACTATGGCTGTTAGCTATTACATACATGTAGCTCGTTTTTCAACATACCGCATTGGTAATGCATGCTACTGTCATTCTGCAAAACAATTTGCTGTTAGGTTAAAACCAATTTATTTATTTATTTTTTACGTAAAATCATAGTATCAGAAATAATACTCAGAAAAGTTATATAGAATGGACACGACAACCCCACCCCTCCATGGGTTGAGCAATGTGTCCCAATGAGACTGAAATCCAGTTGAGTGTTTTGCCTCTTATTACTGAAGAAATCAATTTATTCATCTATTTTATTCGCCTAAGCCATTGCCTGCGATCAAGATTTTTAGATCGTGAAGCTGTGAACTATTTTTTTTTGTCACGAAGATGTAATGGTGGTAAAGTTAAAAGAAGATGAAAATTTAATATCTATGCTAATTCTAGCAGAAAAGCGTCCGACCATTTAAAGAGTGCCACACCGCCTGCAGGAGATAATTTCACTGCGGAATAGACACAAGTTATAAGGAGACATGATACTTTATATGTGTATACATGTTAAGTCTTTTTGTCGAGAAATTATCACACCACACATTTGAATCGTTTTAAACATTAATTTGTATTCTGAAAATCATATCTAACATGCTCCTGTGGTACAGAAAAGAAATACCCGTGTGGATATCCATATATCTTCCGTTTTTTCGAATTAAGAACATGCATCCACTCAAGTCTGGTATTCTTCCAAGAGGCAAAAATGTCTATGAAGCTCAGCTTCTAACTTACGACTTTGTCGAGCAGTGCAATACGTTTTTGTTTGTTTTCATTGTGAATTTATATTCTGGCTATATAAAGGTCTCACGGTGTGTCTTCAAGGGTTTGAAGTGTCAGTGTGTTAGAGGTGATACAGTGTATGTCACCAAATGTGTTGTTAAATCTGTAATAAAGTCATTGCACGCAGTAAGTCCCTGCAGATTTGGGTCGATTCACGTGGACCGGTAGTGTCTGTGGGAATGAGGTCTACGATTAATTCTGCTGTTATATGATATGTGACATTGGGTCGGTATACAGTAGATTCTTTCCATGCAGAATTTTTTGAAGTTTACTTCTTTAATTATTTCTTTCACTTATTTTTAAAAG